ATGTTCTGAAGGTGGCCACCGTGACTTTGGGTGGCAGCAGATGGTAAACCTTCAGGCTGCCACCGGCTATACTGGTGTTAAGTTGGAAACTTAACGTTTGATGAAGAATCAGTAATGCATATGAAAGAGCTTTTACTGCAGAAATATCTTTTAATTAAAAAAAATTAGCATACTGAAACATTTGCTAATTTCCGTGCATTTAAAAATCCTAAAATTAACTGTTTTCTTAAAGCCAGACTATCGTTATTTACCAAGCAGGTTTTATTATGTTTTTCTCCAATTAATTGTACCTTCTGCACTGAATTTATTTTAATTTATTTTCTACTAAGCTGTTGGATACACTGTAAATTAAATCTAAGAAGCTAAATTTTTTAAGTAGCTGTTGTCAGCATCAGTATTAAGCATTGCGGTATTAAGCCTTGACTTAGCCTCCATCCTCAGGAGAGCAAACTAAACAACAAAAACCCAAACAAACAAAAATCTTAAAATCACAAGTAGAAAAGTCAAAACATTGCTGCCATGCAAGGTTGCTGTGTTCGCATGTGTTTTAGTATGTGCCTGAGAACTTAACTGTTTACACAAAATAGGGATGAGTGGTGTAGGCACTTATTTACAATATACATTTATGGCAATTGCTATTTTGCTGTCAGTTTTTTAATTTTTATTTTTACCATTTTGAGTTTGTCATCAACACACAAAAATAAGGGAAAAATGGGTAAGCAACAGTGCTGTGAAAGCCAGCATGATGTGTAGACCTTGACTGTGTTAGTACATTAGTATTACAAATAGGATTTTGCCTGGTCTCCTTTTGTGTCACAGTCTAGTTGCTCAGTGCCCAGGAATGCCCTGCTGTGCATTTTTCTCCCTCCCCCCTGAGATAGGATGCTGCATGTTACAGCTGACAGCTCGTTGTTATGAGGTATTAAATATTACACCTTACACAGTAGTTGTCATCAGCAAAAAGGTTCCATCAGCTTACTGCAAGCCAGGAGCAGTTTCTAGTACAGGCATCTCAGTGTGGTCTGCTCGGGGAAGGACAGAGTTATGCAATGGGGAATGTTTTGTGGAATCCTGTTTTGTCCTGCTGTGTCATTCTGGTGGAGGTTTGTCGTTTCATATTTGAAAAAGGACTCTTAGAAAAAGAATTGCTGATGAACTTGCAAACATTTTCCTTTTGCAATGGGAGGAAAATGTGATGGTATGCAGATAGTAAAGACTTGTTGGGGTACATGGCTGTCCAGAACCTGGCTATGAAAAGCAAAGTGAAGAAGTTAAGTTGGCACTTGGGTCAATGATGATGTTACTGCTGGTCAGCAGCCTCGATAATGCATCTAAGAGCTGCTCCCCTTTCTCTGCTCTGTTCATCTGATACAAAGTCAAGCAAATGTGCTTGCGACAGTCTCTTTTCTGGTCTTTCCCCTTCCTAAAATAGCAGTTTCCTGGTGAGTGATTTAATTATTCTTGTATTTGTTAAATTATTTGGATGAGTCTGGTTAAACCACCTTTTCGTAATATGCATGCAGCTGCCTCTCTGAGAAATAGATTTTTGGTCTTTATGGGCCCCTGTAAATTCTCTGGTCAGCCAGGGTCAAATGCAGTATCAGTGGGCAAAAAATTCCTTGCATGGTTCTTGCTGGGCTGCTTGGGATTGATCTCCTGTGAAGCTAATGATCTTGTGGAAAAGTAAGCATTGAATCAGCAAACAAATAATTTTCCATTAAATAAAGTGGAGCTGTAGCTCATCATCACTGGGGGCAAGTTACGATGCTTGATGGGGAAGCTGGTTAATAAGACTGGTTAGTCCACCTAGGCAGTTAGCCTCAAAAGTGCACAAACATTATTTGTTATTACAGTTGTAAAACCGTAGCTGCTACTTTCAATTTGATGTTGTAATATAGCAGCAGATGAAGGCAGCCCTAAAGGGACCCGTTGTCTGCTTTATTCCCGTTAGTCGTAGTCATTCTATATGTCATCTTATAGGGCGAGGGCTCAGTGATCTGTTCTGTTTCACCATATGCTAATACAGTGCTGATAAGCAAGTGTGAAAAATGAAAGGGAGGAATACATTAATTGTATTTGTGCAATAAGGTATGCTATCAAAGGTAATTATTTCATGACAGTTTTAGTTATAGCAGTTGTTTTATCATAAAATAAAGGATGGCTTTAGGAGACTTTTATTGGAAAGACAATTGTATCAAATTAGTACCAGATTAGATTTTTGCCTTTATAAAGGTGAGCAAACCCATGAGCAGTTTTTAAATTGGTGTCTCCTACTCTACAAATGAATGAATCCTGTCTGAGGGTTAAAGAAGCTATTATTCTGTCCTTTATGCTGACAGCTTCATTACTGATAGGCCTACTGTTGATATTAAAAAAATGTTTGGCTCCTTATGATCTTTGTGCATGCAACTAAAATATTAATACAGACCACAGAACTGTTCATTAAGATATGACTTTAAATGAGGTTGATGCTTGTAAATCTGGAGAGATACAGATGTTAAATGCTGCCATTCCTTTTCCTACACAGCTGTATGGCTAATAATTTCCAAGTGGCTAAAGCTCTTGTTAGCAAGAGTGCTGGTGTGTTAAGAATGGCCCTATAAATAACTTTAAGAACTGAAGTTGAAGGTGCTTCTTTTAAAGACTATTGTTAACTAAACATTATTGCCAAACAGATGGAAAGCATTCACCAGCCTGATGTTTTTAGGTCTAATTATATTATCGCCACTCCTGGTACGGCTCAGTTGAAGAGGTGTATCCAGAGGCCAATTTATAATCATTTAGCCAACACCTGTTTGGGAGATATTGACAGTCAAAGGGCACATTTAAAAAAAAAATCACATATGTTCTTGTATTTATTGCCTCGGTGTGAACAGTGTCTAGTTACAAATAAACTTGGGATAAGAAGAAAGTGACGGTAAACACATGATCGTTTTCAACTGTTCTTTATCTGTCTTCGTCTGGCACCTCTTGCAAGTGGCTTTTATTTTTCTCTTGCTCTTTGGTTTTCTTCGCTGTTCGTATACCGTTTGAATTCTTTGCCTTTGTAGTTAGGCAAGGATAAGTAAATCAGTTTTATAGTTACCATTTCTTCAGCTGGTTTCTGGAAGATTCAATCAAGAGACCTGAAAGATTGTTTGGAGAAACTCCATGATGTAGGGACATGTGCCATTGGCATGGAAATGACATGTCTTTTCTTTCTCAAAAATTGTCACTAATAGCAATGTCTGATGATATTTTTTTCACTAGAAGACAAAGAAAGGCTGTGAATACTGGGTGCAACCCTAGTAAAAGAGGAAGTCTTTGAGAAGGAAAAGCGGCTCTCCCTTTATTTCTTTCAGTGAAATTTGGTGAGAGCAATGATGTGGAAAAACTCCAACTCTCTTTCTCTTACTAGAGTGAAATGCAGAGGGAACGAGGGCAGTGTTTGGAAAGTGGCATCTCAAAAAGCAGTGCTTGCCTTGCTGCAGCCACAGCTTTGGGAAAGTCTGTGCAGTGCTGCCCTGAAACTTCCCCTCATGCTACTTACATCTTCACCTTATTGCAGGCACTGCACGTGGTGGCTCTTCTGGCAGAAGAGGAAGTCAGAAGGTGCAGAGAAAGTCAGTTGTGAACTTGGTAGGCTTTACCTTGCAATGGCCAGTGGGCCCATCATTGCCCCACAGAGTAGAGACGGGGAGGCTGAATGCTGTATTGTGCTTATCCTGTCACCTGGCAAACCCAGAATGTGTTGCTCCAACACATTGTTCCTGTACAAGGAGTCTTTCTTGGTGAATCTCTAAGTGCAGTTGCTGCATCTCGTCCACTGAACGCTGAGTTTGGTAACCCCAGTGCTGACATTTTCAGCCCTTCAGGATTTTAATTTTTAGTGTAACCAAATCTTACTATCTACATCAGGTATTTACAGTGTCTACTGTGAATAAGCAGTGAGTGTGTACTCTTGTTCCTAAAGGAGAGTTGATCTCATGCTTGTCATTGTTTTTGTGGCTGTCTTGCAGCTGGTGCTTTTCAAGTACATCCATGTTCTTGGAGTTTACGAACAATTCTTAAGTGTGTGTGATTTGAAGAAAGAGCTGCAGAGAGTTCCAGCTCCCTGAAGATAAACTTTTCCCAAAATATATGTGTACATAATTCTTGTTTGTTTTGTTTTCAACATGTAAAATAACAGAGCTTGCTAAGAGGCAGAACATGGTCTAGTACTCCTGTCATCCCTGGATTGTACTTTCAGCAGAGGTAATGCAGTCCTAATAGAGATAATCTCTGTGGCTGTAGGTGTACTTCTGCAGCAAACCCATCCACTTTTTTTTTTTTTTTTTTTTTCCAAAAGAAATCCTTCTTTTTGTTGTTACCTTAATACTAGTTTTGCAGGGACATGAAAGGAACTTCCTTACAGCCATTCCTGTTGTGGTTTATGAGCGTGGCAAAATAAAAGGGCAGCTGAGGAATGAGACAGGAGTGGCGGTATGCCGTTCGAAAACTTTTGGTTACAGAACATTACTATCAGGAAAAGGAAAAGCATTTGGTGTATAGAAAGCTTGGTCGGGGGGGAGGTGGAAATACTGTAGTAAGAAGGTAGGTGCAGTGAATTAGGAGAAAATAAAATAATACAAGTGATGTAACATAGGAGGCTAGTGCAATGTGGACATTATTTGTGTGTTTTATTTTGTTGTTGCAATTGCATTTCTGTAATTTGTATTCTGCTAAATTATTTCTACAGTTATAAAGTAGTGGTTTTCTTTTTAAGGTTTGTTCTTTAAATTAGCTGATTGGGAATCAGGCAACATTCTAGTAGCTCTCTAGAGATCCAATTCTCGATCAAATTTATTTCTTTAAAAAAAAAAGTTGTTTAACAAATGTGTGTTACAGGGCTTTAATTTTTGTTTTCATCGTGACATATTTAACTTTGTTTGCAAGAATATTTCAATATTAAGTTTGAGAATCGAGTATTGTCATCTTACTCATGTGAATTTTAAATGTTTCTCTGAACACTTTTTGCTTAGGTTTTACTTGTAATGGACACTAGAACACAGCAGACTTTTATACTGAAGGTAAGTAAAGTCTTCTTACTTCTCTGAACAGACTGGCTTCCTAGTTTATACAACCACACAAGATCACTTTGCATCTAATGTGCCAAGTTATATATATCCATATTAAGTGCACTGGAATCATTTTTCTCAGTATTCGATCTTTTCCATTCCTTTCTCTGTGTAACTTCTCATATGTGCTGGTTTACTCACTTATTTGCTACTTGTTATTGATGTTAATACTTCAGTGGGCTTTGGTGAAGAATCCCTGTTTCAACATGCTTTGTAAAAGAGCCATCAGACTCTGCTGACTCAAGCCACACGTGTGCTTCTGATTAAGGAAGTTAAGATGAAAATTCTCCTTAGCTCAAGTATACCCACAGCTCATCGTCGTGGTTGGTTGCCCTTAGTTGGAGTATTTTATTGACCAAAGGGGATTCTGGATGAAGTGGATGACTGGTCTTATCCAAAATTGCTGTTTTATGGTTTACATCAATAGACTCTGAAAACTGAATTTAATGTTACTAAGCCATTGACCTGCCAAATAGTTAAAGGTTGAGGATATTTTTTTTATATTAGTCTTTTGTGTTTCAGAAAGTGCTCAGATGAAGATCCAACATACTTCGAGCATCTGTGTTGCTGAGAGTTGATTTAGTCTGAGTCTTGTCTTTGTGGCTATTATTTCAGACTCCCATTGAAATTAATGACATGACTGATGGGAGGAAGGGCTGAAAAAGGATGTCCCAGACATGGAGCTATAATTAGCTAACATTTTATAATGTGGCTTCAGGACTGGTTTACGACCCTATCTTAAGTTAGTGCATTTGGTTATTGAAGTGAGTTGTCTTAAGTTTATGCAGGGTACAGAAAACCTTTTTTGTTCCTCAGAAAATATTATTTGTGAATATTGTATATTAGAACCTCACTTTATCTGCTGGCAGATAGGGAAACATTGAATTTCCCATTTCACTGCTTATGTTTATCAATACTGTAATAGGTCACATTATTGACATAATTTTTTTTTCCTTTCCCTATTCCCTCCCTTTCTCCCTCTCACATCAATTTTTTCACTTCTGGCAACTTCATCTCTGTGCTACCTCCCAAAAATCATTACCTCTCAAGGAGATTAATCCTTTCCTTTCCTTTTTGTTGTGGTTACTGCGGTTGTCTTTACTGAAGTACAATGGAAATGTGAGGATTACCTGTAAGGCTAGGGCATTCTTTTGTCTTTAGAACTTGAATTGAATTTTTTAATAGTGTCTTTTGGTCATGCACAAAAATAAATTTTTAAAAAAAGGTCACAGGGAAATAACTGAGTGTCATCCTGATGACTTAGTTTGAGAGAGATTCTAATAAAAACATTGACCCATGTAATTGATTTTAATGGCAGCTTTGTGCCATCTTCTGTTCTCTGGAAATGTGCCAGATGCCATCAGCACAGCCTCGGGGGACCGAGGGGCATAGAGCAGCAGATGAGTGGTTTCTCTGAAGCCCAGAGTAACTCGGATAGATTAGTTTGGTTGATAAACACAGAGCACAGCAGGCTCCAAAGGCAACTGAGGGTACAACTGACCTTTTTGTTCTCTGTCAGGGTCTAAGGAAAAGTAGTGAGTACAGCAGGAGCAGAACGACCATCATCCCCCGCTGTGTGCCCAACATGGTGTGCCTGCACAAGTACATCATCTCCGAGGAGTCTGTCTTTCTCATATTACAGCATGCAGAAGGTTTGTCTCTCATTTAAGTATATTGCTGAAAAAGTCAGAGGTGTAGGTTTTAATCAATCATACATTTCAGTGTCAAATCAATCTCTTATGTATATCTAATTAAAATATTTTTCTGTGCCTTAGAGATGTCGTGTAAGACATCTCACATCCTCCCTCCTCTTCTTTCCCTTCATTCTCTGGTAGATCTGATTCCTTTTTCAAACAGCCTCTAATCCTGATGGGTCTGTTGCACTGTAGCATTATTGAAAGTGTCCAACAATTAATTTCTACCAGAGAGCAAGTGCTTTTAACTGCAACAAGTATCTGTAGTATTTACAGTCATCTTTAAGAAACTAAGTCTTTGGCTACTTTTGTAAACTTTGGCAAGTACATTTGTGGTTAAGTGACAAGCATTCCCCTAAGAGTTGAATAACTGTCTGCTAAAAAGCCATAAATATTTGCCTAGTAGTTAATATTACATAGTTACTCTGATCTGGATTTTTAAGAAAATAGCTAGTGGCATCACATAGGAGTTCAAAGCAGAACCACAGAACAGTGCCTTCAAACTATTTATGAAATTCCTGTTAAATGTACGGGGAACAGGTGGCAAAAAATAATTACATCTTGATTTTTTTCCTCTAACACCTGGATTTAAATATTCCTCAAATGTAATTACCCACATTTATTTAGAATGAGTGCAGAATATAAATTTTGGGTTTGCTAATAGTTCTCTTTTTAGGAAATGTTAACAATTTAGACACAATGACTTGAAGGAACTATGTAGCAGAGAGAAGATAATTTTATTGCATTGAATATTATTGTTTTTACTCCTAATAACTTAGATTTTAGCATTTTTATGAGCAATTTATGTCACATGAGGCCAGCTAAAGTTGGCTTTAAAACATGAATAACTTTTTAAGCTATGTGTGACAAGGTTTTGTCGCTACGAGTGTTGCATAAAGAAAGACCTATTGTACCACACTATTGTAGTGGTGGTGATGCTGGGACTCTGTACAGTGCTACTTTTTTGAGGTCTGTATGATTCAGCCAAATAATTTAGAAGCCATCATCTGAACTGTAATTTACATGTAAGCTCAAACATGTACAGTTTGAGAAGTAGTAACTATTCAAACAACAACAAAGCACAACAAAGCCTAGGCAGATACCAGCTGACCTTAAGGCTAGCAGAATGAAAGGATTAGAGACCAGATACAGTAATAATGCAACTGTTTCTAATAGTTCTTCACTATTTGAAGACCTGTTCTCCTGGGAAGAATGTCCCTTCACAAGACAGATGGAAAACCGGATGTATTACCAGAGGAATTTGGGGGAGTAGTGATCACATGGAGAGAACAAAAATGTAAAGGCAGGCTTAATTTAATTTGATTGGTTGACAACGATAATCTCCCCAAAGTGATAATTTTTTTTGTGTGATGACAGTGATAAAAATGGAGATGTTGTATGATCAGAGCTCTTCCATTTAAGAGCAGAAGCCTCAGCTTAATGCTTGGATGGAGTATATGGAGTATATTCGTTAAAAAAGAGTAACTCTTCTAGTCATCTTTGACCTGATCATGAGTCCAGTTAAGTGTTCTTGGCCTGAATGTGTTGCTCTTACCAATGCTGTCTGTAACAAAAGTTTAGAGTTCTGTGGTGAGAAGATCTTTTATTTACCAAATGCCTGCTAAATCCTATTTGTGCAGCTTAGAGTCTTGTGTGGCACCCTGTGATATCTGCTTGGTTTGCCAGCGGTGAAGGTGGTGTCTGTCAGGCATTGTCATTTTGCATGGGCAGTCAGCAAATGAATACTTGGAAGCAGCCAGAGCTCATATGCCTTTCTCTGGCTGTGGGTCATGCATGCAAACAGGGAATATAGGAGAGAGAGAAATTATTTTGGGGTGGAGCTGGGAGAGAGTGTGCAGGTGAGATGGTGAGATAGGAGTACTTTCTGAAGAGAGTTCTGAAGGGGGAATAGTGAGAAGAGGACATAGGAAGAACCGGGGAGCATTACAGGAATACAGGATTGTCAGACTGTACTGGAGAGGACTGGGTGAGCTGGCAGAAAGGGATTTCATGTGGGTTAGGGCTGCTACTGACAGTGCTTTCGAATATAAGCTAATAAACTGCAAAGAGTTTCCCCTCATTTTCTGAAAAAACAAGTTGTCTGGAAATGGATTCACCTCTGTTTTTTTCCCACTGCTGTAAGTATTTTTTCCTAATGACCAGGGAATTATCAAGGTTAATGTCTTTAAGGATAGTCCCCTGCATTCATGAAATTATTGACTGGCCTCTGAACATACAAAGGGGGAGAGGAAGATAAGTGGTGTTTTCTGTTCTAAAGAGGGAGAACTGGGGCAAAAATCGATGAGTAAATTGCTCAAGAACACGTACAAAAATTATATTGCAGGTGTAGGCCCTGATCCCAAATCCCTATTGAGCAATAATTTTGTGTTGCTTTGGAACTGCATGACCTGTGTACCTCACCATGTCCCAGGAGACCGGTGCTGGAAAGCAAGTCAGCAGAAATGCTGAAGTTGTCTTGTAGATTTTCCTAGCGCTGGAGAGAACATGGAAAAAAAAATAACCCACTGATGATTGTCTCAAACACATCAGTCCTTTGTTAGAAGAACTCATCCTTTAAACAGGGATAAAAACACTAGGAATATCTAAAGATATTCTCTTAAAAATTTTTGTCCATCTCACACCAAATATAAATAGAAAATGTGCTTGTAGGTAAGTTTGAAAAAGTATGAAGATTTCTAGGACAATGCTTTTAAAGTGATAATCTCTGAAACTTTATTCCATCACTTTGTGAATGTTCTTTACATTCATACAAAGTAGTTCTGTTCCAATGGAAATTACTGCCTGTCTAATTTATAAGTATATTGTTTTGTGGTGATCTTTCATGTCAGCCATGCTATCAGTATCACTGAGTAGTTCACAGGTAAAATATTAATTTAAGTGGGCGATGGCTTGAATTACAGCTAATTCAGAGGGTGTTTAAATGTTATGTTAGGTATTATGTATTTGGTAAGGAGCTTGCTAGCTCTTACAGTGCACCTTAACTGCATAAGTAAGTTCAGCACTGTTGGCTTTTGTATGGAATTCTGAAAGCTCGACCCCAAACTCTTGCTCCAGATGAAGACTTTTTTTTTTCAGTAAGTCATAATGCTGTTACACACTCAGATTGGTGAGTGAGCTCTTGGGTCCCCTAACAGGCTTTTCTCATAACTGCAGTCGGAGGCTTGAAGAGGGCCTTGGAATCACAAAAGTCAGTAAAGTTATCTTGTAGCTTTGTTGGAAGGCACTTGGCAAGTTCTATTGTGGTAGAGAGCCAATTTGATATTAACAAGGCCTCGCTTCTTCTTGGCACTAAGAACTGCAGAAATTTTAGAAACAGATGCTTCAAAAATAGGCTGGGGGGCTTCCATGGGACATCAAAGTTTAAGTGGCTGTTAGAAGCTGTCAAATCTCTTTAAGCATAAATAAGGTGGAGTTCCTATCAATCTGGAGAGCACTCAAGAAACTTCGCACTGAAGAGGCTTGCTGCATGCAGGAATTGGTAGACAACAGGGTGGTAGCATTTTGGTTTGCAAAGCTTGGATTTGTTGTTAGGAAAGGAGACAGTTCTAGCTGTAAGGACTTGGCAGAGATCAGAAAGGGTAGGAAAGGTGATGTAGTCATTGGCAAGGGACTTTTTCAGAAGGCTGCTTTGAAATAATAGCTTTTGCTTGAAGTGCTTTGGGAAGTGGGAGCTTTGCCTAAACTAGCAAACTTCGTAGCAGAGATTCACCAGCAGCAGTGGAAGCAGTTGTGTGTATGAGGCTCTGGAGTTTGTAACTATTGTCGTGTTAGAGATTAGGTTGAGATTAGCTTCCAGTTCCTGTGTATGCTGCAATGCTATTGTGACTGCTGTGAAATATTGTTATTTTATCATGATAATGTCTGCATGTCTGGCTCCCTTTTGGTCTAGAAACTATGCGAAGATAATTATGTTGTCATTGTATATTAACATGATGAAGTTTAGCTGCAGCCATGTCTTTACTGAAAAGAAGGACAGTAATTCTAAGAAAACCATAAGGTTGTTCTTTTTCCTGGAATATTATTTCACATGAAGTACATAACTTGTGAATGGCAGTCCTGGCCGTAAACAAATTTTTATGCAGTGAAGTAGAGAATTTAGCCCGATTTTGCAGAATTGTTCAAAAAGATGTCTGACAGTGCTTTTTTTAAATTTTTTTTTTTTTAAATCACAATTATTTGAAGGCTCAGGCTGTTCACTTTCACTTTTTGTAGACTTTCCTAAATACAATGATTACCACACTCCAAAATGCATTCTGGTTTTGTAGAAATTGATGTACAATATTGTCCTTCAGAGCAAACTCATGGGGTAAGATAGCAAAAGCCAATGAAATCTTTTGAATTAAATCCACTTAGGCAGTCTTTCAGGCTGTGGAACTGAAATAGTAAGTGACCGAGTACCTGCTGAGGAAAAGACCATCAGGTTATGATTTTTTTCATGTCAGCTAGAGCAAAAACATGGTTAGGAGAATAAATTTGCTGATCTGATAGGTTTCCTTTTATCTTGTGGTGTGTACAGTATAGTCTCTGTATCTTCTGTTTGATGTGCCTGCTTCAAAGTCCTATTAATAACAAAACCTGTAGAAGTGTTTGATAGAATATTAAAAAAAATATGGAACTAACAGTATTCCTATCCAGCTTCATCACTTGATCACTTTGTGTTGAAATTCTATTTTTTTTTTTTAACACTAACTTCTTCAATTCCACCTCTTGAAGCACAAATATTACCTTCAGAGTATTGAAAATATGGTGAAACAAGGCACTTCTGACAAGTAATTTTATATTTAATACCTGCAGAAGGAGCTTTGATTTTTGTGTGCTAGTAAAACTAGAAAGAATAAGCTAGACTGGTTATAGTGTCTATTTAAAAAAAAAACACAAAAAAATCTTGATGATGTTAATACTGTACTTATGAAATCGTATTAAATACTAATAAACTTTAGCTTAAAATCATAGCTTTTACAGTTATTTAGTATATTAGACTATTTGACAGTGACCAAAGCTTTCTTGTTTGGATTGATTTCTGTAATTTTAGTTTTTATAGATTCCTGATACTATATTAGCATGGCTTGCTAATGGGTTTTCTTGATCTTACACAACACATGGGGAGAGGGGGAAAGATTATTAGTATGTCATTCATAAAGGCATAATTATATACCCAGATACAAATATCACTCTTGTTTGACCCTGGATTGGACATTTTCAAAAAGGAATAAAATTGTTGTTTTTCATATAGAACACAATTATTGAATAGCATTTATTTACATAGTTCCATTTGACCAGGAGGCCAGTCTTGAAATATTTGTGTGTAAACATATTTGGACATAACATTTTTTTAAATGTATTTACTTGCATTTAACTACAAATTGGAGTTGGAGGAAGTAGTTATTTCCACTATGATTTCTCAGTCCAAGTGATTATTAATAAGCAACTTCTTTCTTAAGAAGGTAAGATAATAACATGTTCACTAATGGAAAATGAGTCGTTGTAGTTCTCTTTTCACAGGTAGGCAGTTGTGGATTTCTTAAAGCTATAATGATAAAGAGAGAATATTTTTTATCTTGTGCAAAACCTATTCTTGCTGAAAGCATTCAAAATGAAATATTTTTAAAAAAACAGTTTGAACTTTTTGACTCTTCCATTGAGCTTTCTGTTAGATTTTGAAGGGCTGATCTCAACATATCTGTTTTCCTTCCTTAATCCTTCTTGAGTTGATTCCTTTCTTAAGCTGTACTAAGACTTTGAGCAGAGGCCAAGATGTAGTGGAGACTGAATGAAATCTTGCATTAAGTGAGGTGGAGGGAGCAGAAGACAAGAACTGCACCAAGAGCTTGGCATGTGCTTGAAAAATGAGATAGCGCTGAGGAGAATTCTTTCACTTTTCATGCTGCCAGACAGTCCAGCTCCTTTCTGTCTTAGCATAGGATATGAAGTGTTTAGTTTGGTGAGAGACCTTCAGATGTGACATGCAAAAGCATACCTGGTGTCCAGTAACGATGCAGGAAAAGAATGTGACTATAGACCATAGCAACAATGTATTGAGCTTTCTGAATCCCTGGGTCTAAGCTCAACCCAGACCTCTATTAAAAAATAATTTTTGTATAGACAAAGGACTGATCATGACAATATTTGTATTTAAAGCCATTCCTGGAAGCTGAGATGCCGTTGCACCAGGCACTGTGCAATGCTGTGAAAATGCAAAGTGAGTCTTCGTCGGTCATATTCTGTGAGCACCTTTTGAAAGCTGAGATTTGTGCTTTCTTACAAAAAGTACTGGGATAATAAATACTAGTAATATGAAGATGGAAATCGTATTTGCTTGTATTAATGAATATAATGCAGGAGGGTAGTTTCAAATGAGATTTTATTGTTCAGTATGAAAAGACCCTTAGTAATTCCTTGCCTAATTAATACATAGGGAAAAATCATTTTGTGTCTACTTAAAATAATCTAATTGAAATAATGAATAAAAAAATTGTTGTAAAAATATTGTTCCATCAGAATCTTCTAGTATAATTAAACTTTTGTGCTGTTGCTTTTGTCTTGGTTGGAAGTGTGAAAAAGAGGAGAAAATCTTTCAGACAAAATAAAAATGTTTTCTCCTTTCTTTTGCACTAAAAGGCTTTAAGAATAACAACTCTCAGGGAGACTGCAGTGTTCAGAAGGCACGGCAGTGCTGTCATATTTGAGGCAAGTCTCTTCATCTTAAGGATGCACGTGGACTCCACCCTCACACAGGGACAAACAGTGTCCTGATTGTGTGGTACTGCTGGCAGGACTGAGATGCTCGGCTCTTGCCAATGCATGCAGCTATTTTGCTTGTACCCAAGCAGGCTGGGAGTACATTGCTGTCCCAGGAGGCAGCTTGCTTGGTGACACTGGCAGGAGTTGATTCTCTGGCTGTGCTGGGAGACAGCATTGAACCTTGTCTGGCTGTTGTGGCATGACACGTAGGTATTTGAAGACGTGATATGGCCTCACTTTGAGCACTGTATGCAGGTTTGGGCACCACAGTATAAGAAGTGTGTAAAACTATTAGAGAGATCTGTAAAGGTGGTGAAAGGTCTGGAGGACAAGGGGTATGAGGAGGAACGGCTGAGGTCCCTGGGTTTGCTCAGGGCAGAGGAGCTGAGGGGAGGCCTCGTGGTGGCTCACAGGGAGCGGAGGGCAGCGCTGAGCTCTGCTCTGTGTGACAGAGACAGGGCCCGAGGGAATGCATGAAGCTGCAGGAGTTTGAGGAGTATTTGAATAGCACTTTCAAGGCATGGGATTTGAACACTGGATGGTCTGTGTGGAGCCCAGAGTTGGATTCACTGACCTTGTTGGTCCCTTCCAACTCAAGATTCATTCTGTGATTCTACATCTTTGGGTGAATCTGAGATGCTTATGTAACACAGCGGCGAATACAGCAGGTCTTGTTCCCTTCTATATGAGCATCACTTCCATTTGTTCCTGACATACTTTCTTGCCTTAGAAAGTGGCAAGAGTCATTTTGACCCAATACATCAATTTGTAGCTTGCAGGCAGAACTAATAAATTTAAATTGTCATATTTACAACTACACTCAAGCTGTTAGAATTCCCTCTTAGTATTTTTTATATATTTAGTTTCACCACAACCACTGAGATATTTTTTTTCCCTTAAAAAGAAGTCTTGTCTTAGCCAGGGGGATGAAGAGCAAGAAAACTCCACATTATATTATTCAAATTCATTTTTAAAGTATCAAGGGTTTTCTGCCTTTGATAACTTAGTTTTGAAATACCTGGAAATATATAAAACCTGTTCCTAGGCAGTGAAAAATACTTTCTTCTTTCATTGTTCTTTTTAAAGGAATTTTGCCTGATAAGGAGAGTGCTTAAAAATAACCATTAGAGACTCTATTTTGGAAAAACATAATATAAATCTCTGTTTTACCCAAAGAAGTAAAAAAAGAAAAAAACCACACCAAAAAGTTTTCAGGTGCCCAGCGGGCTGAATATTTATTCTTTTCTTCTACAAAGAGTGTTTGAACTGTTTCTAGAATTTTTATAAAATTTTTAAACTGAAATATCTTGTCTTTGCATTTTTCCTTAAGTTAGTAAAGGTGGCTCTCTAGCTTTTTAAAGACCAATTCTCTGCCACATGCAAGAGATGCAGCAGTAACTTCTTGATTCATTTTTTTTTCCAACTTCTGTTTGTAAACTGTAATCTTATAAATGTGTGGTATTTAGAAAATGAGTTTTAGAGTGTATTTTTTTAGATTTCATGATTACTTTTTGAGCTGTATTTTTTTTTTTAAAGTTTTTGATATGAGTAAACTTTTTTGATATGAATAAATGGGTTTTGCCCATATAGCTTAAAATATTGAAAATGTTTGCTCAGTGCAGCAAGGCATAAAGAATTTTCTTAAGGCCTGACATTAAGGGAGAAATTCATCTGTATTTCACTAAAAAAAAATCAATTTATTCAAAGAGAAACATATCCTTAAAATACCCTACTAATATGAGGTATTTCCCTTCCCCTCACTGAACTTGCTGATCAGTAGTTTTCAGTCTTGTGTTCCCCGATGTTGCTTATGAGCTTGAAGCTGTGATTCAGAACAGGCAGAACTGGTGATGGCTACCCCTAAACCATTTGATCTTTCCTAGTTTTTGCTTCCTTTGGAGACAGCAGATGGAGAGAGCAGTCATCACCATGCAACTTGAGACAGACTCTGAAATGAGACTTTACTGAAGGTTTTATTTTTTTATTTTTTAAAAAAAGCTTAATCTCAAATGCAGCTATTTAAATATTTATGTATTAATACAAATCCGCTTGAAAGCAAGTTGTGGTCCCTGTAATTACTTCCTCCTGAGGAAGCAGATCCAACTTGCTTTATGGGCTTAAGGAGATAGTGTGCTCTGTCAATATTGACATTTTCCTATATCACCATTAAACTGATTCTGTTCTGAGTGATGTTAAGAGACTTCTATCTCTTCTTTTCTTGCAGGAGGAAAACTGTGGTCATATGTCAGTAAATTCTTAAACACAAGTCCTGAACAGAGCTTTGAAATTCCCGAAACCAAAACATTCAGTTCAACTAAAATTCTTCTTGAGCGGCCGACGCCCAGCCCTAAAGACATTGGTAGCAGCACGGATTCCAGAGAAAGCTGTGGGGAGAACATGCTGAAGGTGGTCCCTCTGAGGAGCAGCCTGACGCCGAGCTCTCAGGATGACAGCAGCAACCAGGAAGATGGACAAGAGAGTTCAAAATGGATGGACTCAGCATCCAGCTCAGAAGAAGAGTGCACTACGAGTTACTTAACGTTATGTAATGAATATGGGCAAGAAAAAATTGATTCTGGCTCTCTCAATGAGGAGCCTATGGTTAAAGTGGAGAGTCAAAGTCTGAATATTAAAGAGAAAAGTTCTTTACAGAAGTGCACTGTTAGCAGTGATAGTTTCAGCTCTCACGTTCCATCTCAAGAGCTAAAACTTTTCATTGATGATGGTGAATCAGAAATAGCCAGTCCTACTAGAATATTGGACTCACTAACCAAATCAAAGAAGAGCCCCATGGAACTCTTCAGAATTGACAGCAAAGATAGCGCTAGTGAGCTTCTGGGACTGGATTTGGGGGAAAAATTGTATAATCTGAAATCAGAACCTTTGAAGCCATTGTTCTCTGTGCCAGGTCATGACAGAAGCTTGGATGCCCTGGAGAACAAAATGGGTGTGAGAGCTCAAGACACCGTAAGCAGGGGTTCAAACGACTCCGTGCCAGTTATCTCGTTTAAGGATGCTGCATTCGATGATGTGAGTAGTATTGATGAAGGAAGGCCTGATCTCCTGATAAACTTACCTGGTATGTCTGATACAACTGAGGAGGCAGCAGTGTCAAGGCCTGCCAAGTTTACAAAAACTGATATGGATGTTTTAGAAGTAAAATTACTAGAAACACCTGATGTCTTACAATTAAATAGTTCTGCAGAGCAATGCAAAGCATTTAATCAAGAGCCAAATCGTGTGACACCAGAACTGGGTGATCCTTCCCCCAAGGAAGTGAATGGACAAAGCGCTGTCACTCAGGGAGCTCTCGGGACCCTTTTTACTTCTGAACCAGAGGTAGGTAGTTCAGAAGATGAGGCTCTGTTTCAGGGGCCTGCAGCCTGCTCCATAAACGTGACAAGCAAAGAAGAAAGTGTGTTTGTTTCCAACCTGCTCTCAGGTGCTCAAGATGTTAGCTTGGACAGAGACACGATAAGAAACGAAGCAGTGTTGCTGTTTTCTGATCAAACTGAAGACTTTGGGAAAGAGGAAACAAACCTGTCTTTGTTACCAGCAGCTGAAAGTGAACAGACAGCACCAAAGAGGGAAGACAAAGTAGCAGTAGCAGGGGAGAAGGATATACACCAAATTTTTCAGGACCTTGATGAAAGATTAGCGATAACCTCCAGGTTTTATATCCCAGAGGACTGCATTCAAAGATGGGCAGCTGAAATGGTTGTAGCCCTTGATGCTTTACATAGAGAAGGAATTGTGTGCCGCGATTTGAACCCAAACAACATCTTATTGAATGATAGAGGTCAGGAACTTTTGCAAATGCATTTCTTTTTATTCGCTGTTGCTTCCAATTAACTGAGTAGGCGTTTTATCTTGTAATTAGTATCTTCATTTCCTGTCTAGAGCTTCATTATCAGTGCAGCAAATTCACCCCCAGTAATAGCTTCTAGTACTTAATGATGCCATTATTCTTAATGATACTGTTTTTAGCTACAAAAGGAGTAATTACAGTTCACTTCTGCAGAAAATGGAAGGGAAAAATGTTTTGATTTCTCCTGTCGTTTTGTTTTTAGGACACATTCAGCTAACGTATTTTAGCAGGTGGAGGGAGGTTGAAGATTCCTGTGACAGCGATGCCATAGAGAGAATGTACTGTGCCCCAGGTTAGAACAATCACCTACAATGTTTCACTTGGAAAGTAGATAAGCAGCTTTCATTTTCTCACGGAGCCTTTGTAACACAGAGCTCAAGAACATGCAATATCAATAGCATTTTCTTTTCCTGAATATCTTAAAAAGCAAGAGAGTTTGTAACTGCTTTATTGTTGACTGTGTTGTTGTTAGAGCGTTTCCATAAAGTGTAATTGCATTGAATGCCTTGTTTAAGGAAATTTTAAAAATGTTGTGTGTTCTTTCAATAGTTTCTTATGTGTGAGTACATCCTGATAACTGGAATGAGCAAACAGGGAAAGGGCAGAGTGAAAAGATGACACCATGAGCTTTAAAAACACAACAATTTATACATGCAAAGAACATAGAAAAAAAACGTATTGCAGTTTGAAACACACAACCCTAATAGGCTCAGAGATGCCTCTGACATTTTTGATGAGCTACAGTGGGCTTTGAAATAGTTTAGAGAGCTCTTTTCTTAGAACTGCTTTCATCAATCACGAGGGTGATAAAATCAATATCTCTTGGGTTTTTGTAGCAAGGATGGCACTTGAAACAGATCCCTCCCTCTTTTACTCTTTCCAATTTATTTTCTGCTATTATAGTTGTCTAATGGTAGTGACAATTATAATCAGATACGTTACTTATAACTTTGCATTTTAAACATTTTATAGGTAGCTTAAAGAAACGGCTTTTAGAGTTGAAGTAACTACAGTGATGCTACTCAGATTTTCAGTTCGTCTTTTGGTTCTGAATTTGAAATGCCAATGTACACTTTCTGCTGAGTGCATGGCCTGGCTAGGCTTTGCAACTTGGTGTGCAGATAGTCCTCAAGCTGAGTCTGCAGATGGGCTTGAAGAAAATTAGCTGAAGCTGAGTGAACGACTCAAGGCAAAAGTTGTGAACTTAGTTTGGCAGGTGTTTGTTCTGTGACTTGGTTCCCCCCCACTCAAATACAGTGTGAAACTGCTCTTTGTGAATACAGGTGGTTGTATGGCAACAAAAAAATGAATTCCAGCTCTTGAGATTAACAGTAAATAAAACTTTTGCTCTCCAGGTGCAAGTCAAAAGGGAAGGGGCAGATATTACAGAATTATAGATTTAAATATATAGAATTATAGATATTATTATTGTTCTACCCTCACCCCACTTTAGTTCAAGAGCAGTGAAACTGAGGAACCCTTGATTTGAGAACCCCAGCAATTCTTATGGCTGTGGAACAGAAACATGTTCTGCTTGCCAGTATGCACTCTGTTGCATTAGAAAGAGATGTTTTCCTGCCTCCACAACACAGGCCTGTACAAAGCTCTCCCCAGTTGTGCTGCTTTTAAGATGGAAGCACAGCCTATTCCCACCTTGTCACCATTAATAATCTGTAAAAGTCAAAGCCTAATTTTTCCATATTTTAATGAGAATCCAAAGAGAGGTGGTTTTTTTGCCCCCCTGATCTTCAACCAGCCAACTGCTGTAATTAATTGTTCAGGAAGCAGGCAAAATAATATTTAGAAGTCTCCAAATACAAGAATAAAGTTTTCTGTGCCATCTTTATTTCCACGTCCCAGCACAGGTGTGGTATCCATCTGGATTTTTTGGTTAAGTTTGTTCCATGTGTAACTGGTGAGCTGCAAGACAAAGATCTGCAAGTGCAAGTGTTAGATAGATGCAGGATGGCAGGATTGATATTGCCATGTTAGCCTTTCACATTCGATCTTATTGTTACCTGTGTACACCTTCTATTCTGAGTTAAGGTTTAGTATGTGCTCTTAGGTAATATGTGCAACTGAGGTGAAAGTAGCTTTCTTATGGCTGCTGCAAAACATCCAACTGTAATTAAAAAAGCTCCCCTTAGTGGGCTTTCTTCAGCACCACTGCTACGTTACAGGAAAATAAGCCTTATGTGGATGGTCATTTTTCCTTTTAGGAAATGTCCTATGACTTGGAACCCACGTCTCCTCCTGATCATGGCAGCATTGCCCCTAAGCTGCTTCTTGGGTTAACCACTTTGAAGTTAGTTGTGCCTCACAGTTCAGAGTGCTTAGGTAAATTGAGAAAATTGGATTTTATACTATTCGTCTTCAGTTGCTCTTTCAAATTGTTTGTAAATGTTACTCATAGCTTGCTTTTTCCTGCTGAAGGAACAGATGAACAAGTGATCTTCACAAAACTTAGCCAGGCCCTATGATTTATATCATCACTGCAACACGGTGAACAATGAAATAACTCCAAGTGAATCTCCAACTCGTTTTGATGCATCGAGCAGCTCGGTGGGCTGTGGTGCTGTGCCTCCGGGTACCTGACATCTCATTTCACCTCTAACCAAGTGAAACTCGGATTGGAAAATTTTACCTTTATGTGTTTAGTTTGGTGTCTGTTTTCATCTGAATTCAGGATAGTAGGATTTGGGTGTGGAAAGCCTGTATTTAACAGACTTTTGACGTTTTGTTATTTAAATGGTCTCATTAAAAGCAGGCAAGGAAGGGAAGACCTCTTTGATAAAACGCTGTCCTTTAGGGTCTGGTGTTAGACTGAGTACAGATGATGACCCTTTTTGAGATTCAGTTGTTTTTCTGCAATAATTGTTGAGAAACAAATTTCACAAGCAGGAAAAAAAAAATAAAAAAGAACGTGGAAGTTAAATAGATTACGTGGTATCTTCAGTTTAAAAAAGGTAGGAAGTTGTGTTGCAGAGTTATGTGAAAGGCACAAAAGTGTGTCTGAAATCATTTTAATTGCTAAGGTTCCAGGTGTTACTCTTTTACATGATATGTAAATAATACTGAGCAGCAAAGTTCCTGAGGGCATATTTAGGTTTCAGGTTGCTTTATTGGTTGAAGGAAAATGTGGAACCTAAATCCTACAACTTCTATGTCAGAATCTAGTTTCTGGAGGGAGTCAGGATATATGTATTAATGCTGAAGCTCTTCAGACTTGAGGAGAGAAGTGCCCCTGCGAGGGTCTGCAGGTGGTGGTGGAGGTTTTCGGTCCTCGAGGACGGGGCTCTGCTAAAGCCAAGGAAGGGCTCCTGGTTCAGAGGCAGCGGCCAGAGCCTTTCTGCGGCGAGTAGCCGGGGCTCGCTCAGCTCTTGTTATCCTATGAAAAGCAGAGAGGGATTGTTAACGGCGTGTGTATAAAAGAGATTATGCGACGTAGGTATAAATTAACAGAACAAATGCAAACATTGTAAGCGTAGAAGTGTCAGAAGGATGGGAGAAGAAATAGTTTAAATAGCCGCACTCCATTTCCTGCTGCCAGTGTACTTAATTTTGTTTGCAAGAGCAATTGTCAGTTTTCATCGCGCATAAATTACAAGCGGGGCCGGCTGTCTTGCGAGAAGTTGCACTTCTCCTCCGGGGGCGGCAGGTGGCATTGTGCCATTGGAGGACGGCGCTGCGGGCCGAAGGCGAGGTTTCTTTGCAGCGACTCGCACCTCCGGAGTTGCACTTGGAGCTCAGAGCCGGGCTGCGTTGCGCTGCTGTTGTGCGACGGCACAAGGCTCGCCGCTGCGTGGTTGTACTCAGTCTAAGAGCTGGGGCCGGAGCCGCTCCGGGACAACGGGGCTGTCTGCAGATACCTGGAAGTAGCGCCCGCGCTCTGCTTTGATGGATGGCCAAACTAAAGCTTCGCTGTTCACCTATGATAAGTCAGATGTTGTTTCTCTAACCCACGAGGGAAATGATGGCTTATAAATCATCCCTGTAAACTCAGCACCGCTTCAAGTAAATCTGAGGGGGAGTTGGCCAAAAATAACGCATTTGCTTTTAAAGAAGAAATTAGGTGCTCAGAAGTGAGCTGTTCTGCTGCACTCGTGGTTAAGGTGACAGATGTGAGATCCACCTGGGTTTTTTTGGTTGGCTTTTTTTTTTTTTTTTCCTTTTCCCCTTCCTCTTCTTTTAAGTACTTTTGTTTTCTGAATGTTTTAAAGTGTGCTGATGTCTGAATACAAAGTTATTAGCAGATCAGATGAGAATGATTCACTTCTGTTTAAACAGCCCTTTGCTCTCTGCGCCCCCTGAGAACTCTTATCATGTATTTGTTCAAAAAAAAAAAAAAAAAAAACCCCACACAGAAAAACTAACAGAAAATCCCTCACATTATCCACCTACCCGGTGGCTGATAATATCAGCAGCGTGTATCTCTTTATCTCTTGGTTAATGTGCCTAGGCATTCTGAAGGGGGAAAATTCCAGTAACAGATTCAATTTACAGGGACAGAAACTTGAGCAAATGCCAGCCTAGCAGGGGGGCCATTATTCTGCGCTGTAAATAAGTTTAAAAAAGAAACAAACGCGCACACAAACCTGTGAATCAACGTGTTTTGGTCTAATTGAGGGAAAAGCAAGAGAGATGAATTTTGAAATGCAAATGATTACCTTCTGTTACTTAAGTATTGGTTTTGTCATCTTTGTGATCTTAAATATAAAGTGTTGTTACCTTTTAAAAAGAGTAGTAATTATATTCCGTTTTTGTTGTGAGTTTTAAAATAAAATTGGTAACTTTTTTTTTTCCCAGAGAGCCCCTTCCTAGTATGCTTGATACCTGTGAGAAAGACAGAATTGCCTAGAGCTACAGACTAGTTGAGCCTGTTTGCAGCTGAAGCAGATTGTGTTGAGGATTTACTCATGAAGAGGAATCTTTTAGGTACTTTTTCAATCTAACCTGTAAAGCAGGATGTTACAGTGGCTTGCTGGTCTAACCTAACACGTGGATGCAATTTGTGAACGAGGTGTTTTATTTGCACTAAGTTCTCTTTCCAGCAGTGAGGCGAGTTCTGTCTTATCCCTGTAGAGTTATTAGAGGATGAGATTTCAGAGCTGTGTTTTCTTTGGAATCTTTTTTCTTTCTTATCCAAACCATTAATTTTGTCTGTATTGTTTTTACTAAAAATTGGAGATTTGTTGAAATTGTAAAGTCAAAGTGAGCTTAGATTCATTGAAATTGCAAGTAGGAAAAGTAAGCTTAGAGTCATTGAAAATGTAAGTAGAAAACTGGCCATCA